TCAACATTTTCATCTCGGCTACCTCTAATTTCTCTTCTTGAGCCTTTTTGATGGGCCAGGCTTCCGCTCCATACATCATCGCAGGTCTCACAACGGTTTTATAGACCTTTCCTTTCACCCTTGCGCTGATCTCATTGTCGCATAGCACTCCCAACGCATTTTTCCAATTTCTCCGTTCCGACTGGATTCTATGGCTTATTTCAGAGTCGAGTGTACCGTTTGATGCCACATAGGACCGAAGATACTTAAAGGAGTTTACCCTTTTAAGTTTATCGCGCGCGCGCGCGCGTCGCATACAGGGGACACCCTGGCATTTTCCGAGGCTACATTCAAATAAACTGTCATTTTTTTGGTTTTGGCAGGGTTTTTACGGCCGGATGCCCTTCCTGATGCCAACCATCCCCATTTATCCGGGCTTTGGACCGGCACCGAGTTGTGCTGGCTTGCACCCCCAGTGGCTGGGTTATTTTTCATGAACTATCAAAACCCAAAATTTGAAAAAAGAATAAAAAAACAAAAAAAAACAGTGCCATAAAAATCATGCAAATAGAACTAATCTTAATTTGGTTTCTTAACATTAGAAAATAATATAGACTATTTTACAAATACAGATTGAGTTACCATCTTCAAGAACCTAAATTTCAAACATTCAGTTGATTTATTCTCACACTTTTTTTGTTTTGTCAGTAATACACAGAGATTATCAGTGCTGTTGAAAAATCTTGATCCTAACTTTGTGTTTGCTTATACCTAAAGAAGCCTCCACACTTAGAGGATAAAAGTAGGACTAAAGCAGTCGGTTGATTATATTTAGGATGGCTTCAGTGTTTAGAAGATGAACGTAGGACTAAAGCAGTAAATTGATTTCTTCCTAGGATGGCTTCAGTATTTAGAAGATGAAAGTAGAATGTAAAGCAGTAAATGTTTTTACTCTTAGCATGACCACAGTGTTTAGTAGATAAAATTAGGGCTAAAGCAGTCAGTTGATTATATTTAGGATGGCTACAGTGCTTAGAAGATGAAAGTAGAATGTAAAGCAGTAAATGTTTTTACTCTTAGCATGACCACAGTGTTTAGTAGATAAAAGTAGGGCTATAGCAGTAAATTTATTTACTTCTAGAAAGGCTACAGTGTTTAGAACAGTGGTTCTTAACCCTTGGGTTGCAACCCAAAACTGAGTAACCAGGTCACTTCAGTGACTGTCTGAACTTTCCTTTGTAGTCCATCAGTGGCTGTGCCAAGAGGACCTATCTGAAGACATGAATCTCCGAGTTCTCCCTGCAACCAGAATTTAGGTTGCAGCCAAAAAAAAAGAAAAAGTTAAGAACCATTGGTTTAGAGGAAGGAAGTAGGACTAAAGCAGTAGGTTGACTTACTCCTAGGATGGCCTCAGTGTTTTGGGTATGAAAGTAGGACTAATGTAGTAGGTTGATTTACTCCTAGGATGGCCTCAGTGTTTTGGGTATGAAAGTAGGACTAAAGTAGTAGATTGACTTACTCCTAGGATGGCCCCTGTGTTTAGGGTATGAAAGTAGGACTAAAGCAGTAGGTTGACTTACTCCTAGGATGGCCTCAGTGTTTTGGGTATGAAAGTAGGACTAAAGTAGTAGATTGACTTACTCCTAGGATGGCCCCTGTGTTTAGGGTATGAAAGTAGGACTAATGTAGTAGATTGATTTACTTCTAGGATGGCCTCAGTGTTTTGGGTATGAAAGTATGACTAAAGCAGTAGGTTGACTTACTCCTAGGATGGCCTCAGTGTTTAGGGTATGAAAGTAAGACTAAAACAGTAGGTTGATTTTTTAACCTGAGATGGTGTCAGAGCTGAGAAGGTGTAAGAAGTTCATTGTTTTATATATGTAGTTGCCTTAGAAGATCAGGTTGTTGTTGCTAAAACATTAGTTTGTTTTGAACCTAGGTTATATAAAAAAAAATATGACTAAAGCAGTAGGTTGATTTATAACTGGGATGTACTCTGAGTTTAAAGGAGGTTATATAATTGCTGAAATAAGTCAATTTACATCTGGATGGTCTCACAGCTTAGAAATTTGTTTAGTAAAATTATTCAATTCATAGGCTGTTTTATACATAAGTTGATGCTCTAAAGAAGTTAGATTGTTTTAATTCAATTTTATTTGATGTTACAGGTCTGGATCATGTCCCAGTGAGGTTCTACAGGTGAAACAAGTATCCCATAAAAAAACTAGTTCCTTAGACAGCACCAACTTGGTGTCTATCCCCAAGCCCTGCTCCCGGGCCAAGCAGCCTGCTCCTCTTGTTCAGGAAAGGTGGGCTTTTACATAAATAGCACTTATGTTGTACCCTGTTGTTGAATCTATTGTTCCACTGTTTTTATTATCCTTGTTGTTCTTGTATTACATGTTTGAAGTTTATTGTTTTTGTCCAGTATGTTTGATTCTACTTGTTTAGGCTCAGTATTTTTTATTCTTCTTGTTTGACTCGCTATTGCAACATAGTATATTTGAACCTTATTGCTTCTGTACAATGTGCTTAATTATTATTTCAAAATTATGTATCACATTTTTATTGTTTTTACATAATACATGTAATTGTTGTTCTTTGGTTTAAGCACAATGTATTTATACCTTGTTGTTTTTGTACAATACATATAATTTTTATTGTCTGCATCTTTAATAATTCATTTCTATTTGTTTGATTTTTATCATTTCTGTACAATATGTATAATTCTTATTTTTCATATCTTACTGTTTAGACATAGTGTATATAATTTTTAATCTTTATAATTTGATTCTAATTGTTTTATCAAGGTTGCATGTTCATAATAATGATGCTTTATGTTGTTCTTTCTAACAGTTATATAAGAATGTTCATTGATTATTCTTGTTAAAATAGTATTTGTATATTCAACATTAATCCATGTGTTTGCATGTTAGTATTAATGGTGACATAGATCAGTTTACATTAGTTTATCTTCAGTCTGTATTCTTGTTAATTAATGTTTGTCATTATTATCCACATCAGTATCATCACACTTATGATTAGATGTTTTTACTGAACATTGCATCTTACTTTTAGTTATCCACTATATTATCACTAGTCTTATTGTAAAGCAGATCAAGCTTTAATATTCTCATATAATTTTTGTATATACAGTTGTTCTTAAATTATGCTTCTACCGAGTCTTGGCTAACAGACAAGTTTCTTTTCTCAGGTTTCGCTGCATTGTGCCTTACCCTCCCAACAGTGAATATGAACTTGAGCTAAAAATTGGAGATGTGGTTTATGTTCACAAAAAACGTGATGATGGTTGGTACAAAGGGACTCTGCAAAGGACAGGCAGAGTGGGATTATTTCCTGCAAGTTTTGTAGAAAGCTTTTGACATTAGTGTAAAGCTGTGTAGTGCGTGTTATCAGTGACTGTTATTGTCGTTTCTACATATCTCTGCTGCTTTATGTTTTAATGTGGGAACAGACTTACTGTGGGTCCAACGTGCCTGTACATACTTGTAGAATTTGTGTTCTTTAATTATAATGCTTTTTAAAATATTGGGTTAACATGTGATCCTTTTTTTTGCTGAACAATTTCAGAAAATGAATCTTTTTCTGTTAAAGTTATTCTGTAAATCACAGATTGAATTGAGAATTGTTAGCTATAACCACATTTGGAGATGGTGCCATTCATGCTGAACTGGTGCTGCACTTTTCCTTGTTTTCTTGTCTACAAACCTGAGCCTTTAAGAAGTAAATTATAGCAAGAAATATATTAAGGCTTGTTTACTGGCTCAGAGCATTGTCTGGTGACTAGAAATATTTTGAGGTGTGTATATATATA